TCAACAGAAATTTATTAAGCATCTGCTACATGTGAACCAGTATATGTCAGATTGTACATTCTCCAGTGAGAGAATCAATTTGTTAGTTTTCCTCAAAGATACAGAAGAGATTTTTTTTTAAATATGTTTTTACTGATTTCAGAGAGGAAGGGAGTCAGCACACTGGTCCTGGGAATGCCCTTGGGGAGCAGGCACAGTCTCAGGCGGGGGCCCAGGCCAGGAGGCTTTCACTGAGGGAGTGGATCATGCTGGGACCTTGCGTCAGAGTCATTTCTGGGGCTTAAAAAAATGCAGGTGCTTAGAGGGCACCCTAAGGAGATTTAGGAAATTCAAAATCTGTGTTTGGGCTCTGAACAGCACTTCCCCCATCTAAAGCCCTTTCAGAAACAAACTTCTGAGTGATTAAGATTGACAGTTGGCTAGCAGGCCAACGAAGGCAGAGGCGGAGTCCAGGGAACCAACTGAAGTTTGCTGGGCCCCAGGCTGCTAAGGAACCTGTTTTAGAGGGCAGATTGGCCCCTCCTACTTGCAGCCAAGTCCTATGGAGACAGACACAACCTGTGGATTGCTTGGAGCTTCAAGCTGAGAGCCAAAGAAGGACAGTTTCTGACAGTGCTTAGCATCTAATGAGAGGAGCCTCTTCCTGGAATCACACAATGTATGTATGTGTGTCTCTGTGTGTGTGTGTGTGTGTGTGTGTGTGTGTGTGTGTGTGTAAAGCACTGAGCAGCCTGGTTTGAGATCAGTGGGCTACAATGGGAGTCAGACACAGGCGGGCAGGAGCAAGGGAGACAGGTGTAGGAATACAAAGAGGGCTGTCAGTCAAGCCTGGGGGCGTCTTTCTGAAGGAAGACTTCCTGGAGGTGGTGATTCCTGTGTCAGAGTCCCAAAGGATGTGGAGAGTGGCTCGACAGGGACCAGGAGAGTGTTCCACGTGGAGGGGAAGAGTGGGTATGAGTGGACAGGGCACTGCAAGCATTTGGCACAGGTGGAGAAGGTCTGGCAGGGAGCAGATGGGAGCAGAGTGGGGACCAGGGAGTGGAGGCCCCAATGCCGGGACTAAGGATAGCTTGTAGTTTCTCAGTCGCCTGGCAGGAGCTGCCTTATGCAGGTGCTCTGAGCCCACCAGGAGGGGACGTTCTGGGTTTGGGGCCTGGGGACCTGCAGTTTTAACCAGCGCCCAGGGCGTTGGAGTCAGAGCCGCTGCAGTGAGAGGAGAGGAGCCCCCAAGTATTTTTTACCAAGAGTTTGCTTCATTGTGTGTCTCATTCGTGTTTCGTCACAGCTCACACCTGCACCCACTGCGGAGCCTTGCCTGTGGGAACCCTGCTCTTGTTCAGGGGTGGGTTTGTGGACTGGCCACAGAAAATGCCAGCCGCCTGCAGGTGTCTGTGCACCCAGGGCCATTGGTTTCCAGAAGGAAGTAGAGGCCTCTAGGGGGAGGGCCTGAGGGGCTTTTGTTGGGGAAGAAAAAGGTGAGGTGGGGCCTGCCCTGGAGAAGGTAACACTTCATAACTTCCTGGTGTCCCTCCCAGGAGCAGCAGCCAAGCTGGACAGATGACCTGCCGCTCTGCCACCTCTCGGGGGTGGGCTCAGCCTCCAACCGAAGCTACTCTGCTGACGGCAAGGGCACCGAGAGCCACCCGCCGGAGGACAGCTGGCTCAAGTTCAGGTGAGAGTGCGGGTGCTCCCTGGGCATTGCAGACAAGCAAAAGCAGCAGTTTGGCAACTGTCCTGCATGGGGCTTGCCAGCGAGCTGTGGCCCATGGGGGTGGCGTGTGCTGCTGTCCCTTCCACATCTGGACCTTAGACCGGCCTAGGCTTGCGACAGGGGGTGGGGAGCATCCCTGAAGGTCGTGGCCTGAGTGAAATGATGGGCAAAGTGGGGGACCTAAGTGGGCACCTGAAGCCACAGCTGCTGTATCTTTGGTCTCCCCCAATTTTTGTCCCTCCTCCCCCTCACGCTGGAACTGGCGTCCTTCTGTGAGCCCTGGTTTCCACCACCTCTTCCCTCTCTCTTCCAGGAGTGAGAACAACTGCTTCCTGTATGGGGTCTTCAACGGCTACGATGGCAACCGGGTGACCAACTTCGTGGCCCAGCGGCTGTCCGCGGAGCTCCTGCTGGGCCAGCTCAACGCCGAGCACACGGAGGCCGACGTGCGCCGTGTGCTGCTGCAGGTACTTGCTTGGCAGCTGACTGCAGCCGGTGGATCATCTCCCCCAGAGGCGTGATCCTGCAACTGTCAAGTGTGGGTTCGCCAGGGCTGGGCTGGAGACCCTGCCGCTCCTTCTCTCCTGCAGGGGACCCACTCCGGGAGCCTTTCCCAGCGGCAGGGGCTCCCTGTTTCCGGGAGGCCAGCAGCAGGCAGCCGTCACGGTCCTTGCCCACAGCTGGCAGGGTTGGCTCTGAAGGAGATCATCTTGGGGAACGGGAAGTAGGGGTGGGACCCTGGGCGAAGGCGTGTAGGGGGGCCGGGGGTGATTTAGGATGGTTCCTTTCCTTGGGGTGTGGCTCAGGTGCTCCGCCTCCAGTCGCTGCCAGCACCCTGGGCCTCGCCCCCTCGCTTTCGGCTGTCTGGGGCTCCCCTGCCAGCTCTGCATGTCTCTTGGCTGCTGTTTGGGAGATTTCTTCCTGGCATCTCCTTTTGGAAGCACATCTGGAGGCACTTAGTTCGGATGAGGAGGATGGATTCCTGTTCCTCGAAAACAGCGTTCCCAGCCCTTTCCTGCCTCAGCACCTGAGGCCCAGGGCACCCTCCAGCCTCGGGGCCTGGCGCCCGTGACTCTAGCTGGCCCCCCGGGAGGGGCAGCAGCATGGCCGTTGTCCAGGGCCAGCAGGATGTGGTCGTGACACCGGTGGTCATTGATCTAGACTTGCTCTGAGCCAGGTACCGAGTGCTCAGTCACTCAGAACAACTTACCTCTGTTGAGGTGAGGAGACCGAGGCCGCCAGCTGGCAAGCGGCAGAGCTGGAGGTCACGCCCAGGTGGCCCGACCACAAGCCGTGCCCTTAACCTCCATCTTTAGCCCCAGCCTCCCGCTCTGCAGTGCACGTGCGGAGCCCCCACCCCGGTGGCCTGCACTTCGTACAGTTCCTCACTATAGCCGGGCGTTGCAGCGTCAGGGGGCAGTGTGTTTTGAACCGGCCGTTGCCCTGACACCTGTCCCTGTCCTCCCTGTGCCTCTAGGCCTTTGACGTGGTGGAGAGGAGCTTCCTGGAGTCCATCGACGATGCTCTGGCTGAGAAGGCGAGCCTGCAGTCCCAGCTGCCAGAGGTACTTCCCTCGCCTCCCCCGAGGGGGGCCCGTCAGGCTGGCTTTGTAGGAGCACTGAGTGATCTGCCACATCACGCCCAAGCCATTGACACCACTGGGCCAGAGCAGCACAAGTTAGGGGAGAGTTCCTGACTGGGGGACGTGGGGGCTGATGGGTGGACACTCCAAGGGCCTCGTTGGTTGCTGTGGGCAGCTTTACTCATGCTGAGCATGGGGCGGGCAGTGAGGGTGTGAGGAAAGGCCCTTTCAGGTCAGTCCTTGACTTGAGTCTGCCCACAGCCTTGTCACCTACCCACTCACATCAGCACCAGCACTTTCAGAGCCGGCAGGACAATGAGGTCACCTCTGGCTTTCCTAGAGAAGCCTGCCTGGAAGTGCAGCTTCATCCTGGCCGGGCCTCCAGCCCCTGCTCTTTAGGGGGGAGCGGGGGGGACGGTCTCTGAGGACCCGGCCTGCTCTGACCCCTAATGGTGGCTTGCAGGGTGTCCCCCAGCACCAGCTGCCTCCTCAGTATCAGAAGATCCTTGAAAGACTCAAGGTGTTGGAGAGGGAGGTTTCAGGAGGAGCCATGGCTGTCGTGGCTGTCCTTCTTAACAGCAAGCTCTACGTCGCCAATGTCGGTGAGCCGCCTGTCCGTCCCTGGGGAGGGCTGGGGAGGAGGCCAGCTTGGGGGACCGTGCGTTCTTTGGGCAGCTGCTTTCCAGATACATGGGATCTCCAGCCCGTCTGCCACGGCCATTGGGTGGGTTCCCCTGTTATTCTTTGAGTGTTTCCTCCTGCCCGGCCGGTGTGGCTCAGTGGTTGAGTGTCCGCCCATGAACCAAGAGGTCACTGGTTCGATTCCCAGTTAGCGCACATGCAGGTTGTGGGTTTGATCCCCAGTAAGGGATGTGCAGGAGGCAGCCAATCGATGTTTCTCTCTTACCGATGTTTCTAACTCTCTCCCTCTCCCTTCCTCTTTCTAAAAGCAATAAAAACATAATAAGAAATTGATTTGGGTTCTCTTTCAAAAGAAGAGTGTCTTAGTCCCAGTAAGGAGAGTGGAAGTAGCAGCGGGATGCGGGCGGCCTAGCTCTTGTCCCCATGCTGTCCCTAACTTGTGGCCTTGGGGAGTTGTGACCCTGTCTGGGTCACCTCAGTGGCTTCCTCTTCTGGAGGGTGGCGAGGTGGGCTGGGTGTGGGCTGGAGGGTGAGGGGTCCCAGGGACGTTTTGTAGGATTTGTGGGCAAAGAAGAGACCATCTGGGACCCTGAGAAGGCCATACCCCAGGGTGCCGATTACTGTAGGGGTGCTAGAGAGACCCCACTGATAATGTCCCTCCTCTCTTCCTCCTTTCCTTAAGATTTCATTATAGAACAGATTTAGGAATGTAAAAAAAATAGAGTGACTCGCATTTAATGAGCGCTCTGTGCCTATCCCCAGCCCCGGAGTCATCTCCTCATGGCCAGTCTCATTTCACCTGCAGCCCTGGGTCCCTGCATTGTTGTGAAGCAGACACCAGACATCATGGCCTGGTATCTGTAAATATGTCAGTGTATCTCCCTAGACAAAAGCTCTCTTATTAAAATCATAATCATAATCATGCTCGGATGGAAAAGTTTAACCTAATTCCTTAATATTGCCAGCTCTTACGACTGCTGGCTCACCCAGGGGTCTGAGCCTATTTTCTTTGCTTGTTTCAGGATTTCCCCTCTCTCTCTCTCTCTATCTCTCTCTCTCTCTCTCAGCCCTTTCCTCCCTATGCTCAGTCTGCTCAGCTGCTCACATTCTGCTGCAGGTACGAACCGTGCACTTCTATGCAAATCCACGGTGGACGGGCTGCAGGTGACGCAGCTGAACGTGGACCACACCACGGAGAATGAGGACGAGCTCTTCCGCCTCTCACAGCTGGGTGAGTGGGGACAGGGGCCGCGGGTCAGTGTTGGGGGCAGCCTCGTGGCTCACCCTCGCCCTCTTCGGTGGTCATGTGGAGAGAGTGTGAGTAGATGGGTTGTGACCAGCCTGCCCGGGGCTGAAGCCCAGCTCTGTTGTTTGCTAGTCGGTGGTGTTTGGAACTGACCTGTTTTCTGTGCCTCAGTTTTCCCATCTGGGTAATGAGATGATAGTGACACCTACTTCGGGGTGTGGTGAGGATTAAGAGTTAAAACGCGTGTAAAATGCTTCCAAGCCTACCTGGCACGTTCACTGTTATTGGTGGAGACTGAGGCCAGAGAAGTCCTGAGATTTCAGCCGCTGCCACCGCCTCCTGGACGCTTCCCAGGCAGCTGTACTGGGCGGTGCTGGATGTGATGGGCTGTGGGGAAGCCTCCCTGCGAGGGGGATTCTGATGGAGACGGGGGCTGAGGACCTGGGGGCTGTTGGATTAGCCGCTCTCCAGCCGCCTGGTGTGACTATTTCCTGTTCCCCAGATGTGTGTGTCCCCTTCTTGTTGTTCCTCATTATGAGCAAGGTCTGGCTTGTGTTGTTCTCCCACTCGTAGGTTTGGACGCAGGAAAGATCAAGCAAGTGGGGATCATCTGTGGGCAGGAGAGCACCAGGCGCATTGGAGATTATAAGGTCAAATACGGCTACACTGACATCGACCTGCTCAGGTAGGTGGCCAGCCAGCTGTGCCCCCCCCCCCCGCCCCCCGTTAGGCTCTAGGAACAGAGGTGCAGTTGCAGGAGCTCAGAGCCCAAGGAGACCCTTCCTTCCTCCCAGAGGTTGGTGTGAGGTCAGGGGTCAGAGTCCTGTAGAGCTAGGCTGGCAAAGGGTCAAAGCCAGAGGCAGCAACTAGTGCCTCAGGGCTAGCAGGAAGGCCAAGGTTAGCCTGAGCGGCCTGGGGTGGGTAGGGACAGACCAGATGCCTCTTTGGTCAGTGCTATTTATGGCAAGGGCCAGGGCAGACGTGTGAGACGAGTTGTACATTTCCCTCCAAGGATATTTCCCTTCCGGCTGCCACCCAGTGATCATAGCAGCACTGGGCACAGCTCTGTACATACATTCTCTCACTCAGTCCCCCCCCGGGCCTAGGAGGTACGTACTGTTTTTTTGTTTTGTTTTGTTTTAAATATATTTTATTGATTTTTCACAGAGAGGAAGGGAGAGGGATAGAGAGTTAGAAACATCAATGAGAGAGGAACATTGATCAGCTGCCTCCTGCACCCCTCCTACTGGGGATGTGCCCGCAACCAAGGTACATACCCTTGACCGGAATCGAACCCAGGACTTTTCATTCCGCAGGCCAATGCTCTATCCACTGAGCCAAACCTGTTAGGGTGGTAGGTACTGTTTTTACCCAAAGGTATTTCATACGATGAAGCTGACAGGGTGACAGTAGGCAGCTTCTGTGATCACGGGGCTGGCCATGGGCAGAGGCAGGACTTGGACCCAGGCAGCCTGCATCCCAAGCACATTGATTGGAAAAATAGGTGTGTGTACGATCATGGCATGTCATGTCACAATCAGAGCCATGGGCGAACCATGCCAAACACCCCTCATCAGCGGGCAGACCTTGTCATGTCTTAGAAGCAGAGTTCAAACTCCTTCCTCCCACAAGACTCAGGCAGTTGTGTTTGGAACCTTTTGTCTCTAATGTGTAGGGCTCTGTTCCTTTGTTGGAAAGTACAGATGTGGTTCCAAACAGGCCAAGGATATGCTGTGCAAAGTACGTTCTCTCCTGCCCCGAGACGGGGCTCTTCCCCAGAAGCTGCTGGTTTCCTGTGCGCCCTGCCTAGAGTTCCTGTGTGTGCGTGTGTGTGTGTGCCCTGCCCAGAGTTCTTGCATGCGTGCATGTGCGCGTGCGTGTTCCCTGCCCAGAGTTCGTGTGTGTGTGTGTGTGTGTGTGTGTGTGTGTGTTGGGTGGGAGCGGGGCAGGGGTAGGCATCCTTTTAGAAACATGCACTAAGTACTAGCACACCCTTTCCAGTATTCTGTAGCTCACTGGCCATTAGGTGTCCTTTCCTCCATTCTACACACTTAGTGTGGAGGCTGTGTTCTTGGTCACAGCTGCTGGAATCCAGTGTGTGCCGTGTCAGCACTCGCTACTGGCCCCTATGGAAGGGCCCTCGGGGTGTTTCCAGACTCCGCTCGTCCGGATTCTGTTGCCAGAACATCACATAGCTGCTTGTGTGCGTGCACACGGGCAGGACCTCTCGGGCACGGCTGGCTGACAGTGCATCAGAGATGACCCTGTGCAGGGTGTGCCGGTGAGGTCTGAGTCAGCCTGACACTTGCTTTGGAGGAGCCCGGAGGAGTGGGCTTTCAAAAGAGAACCCCACCCTCTCACTGCCCACCCTGCCCCTGGCACTGCCCAGGCTCTGTGGGCAGGAGCTGCAGATTGGGACCGGGATTGGGCATTTGACCTTTGCACCCTAAGCCCAGCTGTCTCTAGCCTTCTGGGCCTCAGAACTTGATTTTCGTAGCTGTGCTCAGAGACAGGTCTGTTTTTCTGGTTTTTCGTTTTTCTCGTCTTGCCAGATGTGTGTTTTATTTTACATTCTGGGGTAGATTCTTCCCCTTAGCAAAATAAATGTCCCTAGGGGGCCATTCCAAGTACAGCTCTCCCCTCTACTCTCTCCTGCAGCGCTGCCAAGTCCAAGCCGATCATCGCGGAGCCTGAAATCCACGGCGCACAGCCCCTGGACGGGGTGACCGGCTTCCTGGTGCTGATGTCCGAGGGGCTGTACAAGGCCCTGGAGGCAGCCCATGGGCCTGGGCAGGCCAATCAGGTGAGCTGGGCCTAAGCAGAGCATAGCAGGCCAGCCTGCAGGGGGCACGCTCCCCTGGGGGCCGCCTGCTCGGCACCAGAGTGCTCAGGGCCCAGACTCCGATTCTCAAGTGCCATTGCCAGGTATCTTCTCTGGGCTCAGAGCTGGGGAAGGAAACGCCCAGAGCTTCGAGAACACCCATCCCCCAAAACCTTCCTCGTCTGGGCTTGAAGCAGCCCCAGAGCCTTGAGCAAAGCCTGAAGGGAAGTGGGCGAGGAGGACGTGAATCGCCGTGGGCTCGGGTTGCTTTGGAGATTGTCCGGGAAAGGTCCTGGGCCCAGGGGTGGAACACGGAAGTGCGGCCTCGCGCACAGAGCACTGGCCAAGGAGTCGTGCCAGCCATGTCCAAGTCTGCGCCACCCTTCCCCTTCCTCTCTGAGCTGTGGGTGATTTACAGTTTGTTCTCATGTCTAAGATGGGGATGATAACACCCACTTTTGTGGGGTTGTGGTCACGCAGTCGCTTCAGGGATGACTTTGAAGGGAAGCTGCCTCTGCCTGATCTTGGATGGCTGGTTGGTCAGATAAGTTCAGGTCGTGTTTCTCCTTCCATCTGTGAGTCTTGTAGGAAGGTAACGTTTCTGCCTTTTTCCTTTCTTTTCCTTATTATTATTTTTTTTAGAAAAACAAGAATTTATTGCCTGCAGCAAAAATATATACTTAGGCTGGGCTGCTCTGGCTCACTGGGAAGTCAGAGAGAAGGGGTCCTTGGAGACAGGTTCAGGGGTTAGCCCGGCATGAGCTGCCGCTGCTCCCCTGGTTTCAAGTCTCCTGGGGTCCCTTAGAGGGGGACGGAGAGCGGGAAGGGAATGGCATGGGCGTGCTCCCTGGATGGGGACCGCCTGCTTTGTCCTCTCTAATTAAAGGCTATGGGGGAAAGTCTTATATGCCGCCCTCTCTCCTGATGCCTGTGCTCAAGGTTCTCATCTTTTTATCTTACTCCTCTAGTAGCGCTGTCACGGTTAGCAGCTCACATCACTTCCACTTAGGGAGCCTGGGGTGCAGAGTTCAGGGTCTCGCCTGAGGTGACCTAGGTGGACAGTGGGGCGGGGGGCGGGGGGTTGAGCCCGCCTGACTGGCCCCAGGTCACTTCCTGTTGCCTGCCTCTGCGCCCTACCTCCAAGAGACTGGCCAGCCAGCATGTAGAGGATTTTGTGTTTCTGATCGTATCATCAACGTGATTTTTTTTTTCCTTTTCTTTGGTCTTCAAGATAGAATTATCAGTGGCTTCTTACTGGGTTCTAGGATACACTGGTCAGTGGACTTCTCTGCCTTCATTCTGTGTCCCCATTTGCTGACAAAATTGGCATATCCTAGCCCATAATGAGTTTGTTCCAGGAAAAAAGGCTTAATCATCACAATTGCTCCTCTGTTTGCAAGTCTCCTGGGTCCCTTAGAGGTTAGGGGACACGTGCCTGGCGTGGTGGGCATGTACTTACACAGGGCTTTCTAGCAGTTCCCCCACTGCCCTCACATCCATTATGTTACTTCATCCTCGTCGTAACCCAGGGAGGTGGATGTTCTCCGTTTTATGGTGTGGAGGCCAACAATGAGAGAGATCACAAGGCCACACCTTGTCTAATGAGAAAGTTGCAGAAGGATTATCCTGAATCCCTTGAAAAGCTTGGATTGTAGGTGTGGCTGATGGGGACTTCCTTCACCTGCTTGACCAGTGACCCCTAAGTGTCCTGGTGAGGCTCTGGAGTCACGGCCCACAGTCCCTGGGCCCCCTGTTCCTCACCGGGTCTCTGCCCCGCCCTCCCAGGAAATCGCTGCTATGATTGACACTGAGTTCGCCAAGCAGACTTCCCTGGACGCGGTGGCCCAGGCCGTGGTGGACCGGGTGAAGCGGATCCACGGTGACACCTTCGCTAGTGGCGGCGAGCGTGCCAAGTTCTGCCCAAGGCACGAGGACATGACCCTGCTGGTGAGGAACTTTGGCTACCCGCTGGGCGAGATGAGCCAGCCCACAGCGTCCCCAGCCCCAGGTGAGTGCAGGGCGGACAGGAAGCCACCTGAGGGGGCCGTGGGCCGCGTGGGCTGCGGAGTGGCGGAGGCGCCAGGCTTGCTCCGGGAGCGCAGCAGGTAAAGGGGGAGGCCTGGCTGTGAGCAGCTTTGATCTGGGCCTCTGAGCCGCCTTTGACTGGTTTTCCTTCTTGTCTGTGAAATGAAGAAAGACCGTCTGCCCTGGATGACCTCCTAGTGACCCGAGAGCAGAGAGCTTCAGAGACACCAGGCCACATGATAGGGACGATGGCTCCCCAAGTGAGGGCCTACTCTGCGCCTGGCACTTGACCCGAATGTTTCCTGTAGTCCTCACTGACAGCCCTCAAGGAGACAGCACCCCCCTTTTACAGTAAGGGAAACTGAGGCTCTGGGAGGAAGAGACTTAGGCGAGGCGAGGCATGTGGACAGAAGGTCCCCGAAGCCTGGCTCTGTCCCTGGGCCATGTTGGGGTGAGAGTAATGCGCTTAACTTTCTAATTTTTGAGTCTTGGAGTCAAATTGCTCAGGAGGCCAGGCAGTCGTCCTTTCTGCACCTCCTCCCGTGCTGCTCATTGTGCAGACTGTTGGCTCCTGGGCTGCACTTTCTCTTCTTTTTTCAAACAAGCCTTCGCGCTCAGGCATGCCCAGATGGCTTTGTTCTCTGGCGGACACCGGGGTTACTGGAGTTTCTCTAGCTTGCTGTTATTGCAACTATATTTTTGTTGGGCCAGCCTCAACTAGGAGCATGCTTATCCCCTCGGATTAGAGCATCGTCGCGGGAAGCCAGGCAGTAACCCTTTCGTCAAGCAGCTCAGCACTTGATCCTCCTCCTGCTTTGAGCACAGGAGCTGGTGAGCGCCAGCCCCTGCCCGGCCGGCAGTCTTGGCCCCTGGACTCCCCTTTCTGTCCCAAGGGGCAGGGGGCCACGCTGCAGCTTGGGGAGCCAGGCTGGGCCACCACCTTCTCCTCTCAGCCCTCAGACACCGCTCCCGTCAGGCCCTGGAGTGCCCCTGTTCCCACCGCCAGCCACTCCCCGGGCCCACCTCTCTCTTCCCTCCACAGTCACAGGAGGACGTGTCTACCCCGTGTCCGTGCCTTACTCCAGCGCCCAGAGCACCAGCAAGACCAGCGTGACCCTTTCCCTCGTCATGCCCTCGCAGGGCCAGCTGGTCAATGGGGCCCACAGCGCTTCCACCCTGGACGAAGCCACTCCCACCCTCACCAAGTAAGCCCTCGCCCATCTCCACTCTCAGGCCTGCTTCCTGGGGACAGCCCTTGGTCTCTGACCAGGAATGACAGGGCCCAAGTGCTGTAGCTAAGTGATCCTGGGTGAGACGCCCTGGGGTCTTAACTTCTCAAATGCCCGCCTCCCCTCCTGGGAGTTCTTTTAGCCGCTGCTGAGGCCGGAAGAGGCAGCGCTGCAGGGGGGCGGGTTTCCAGGGCAGAGGGGCTGAGGCTGCGGGGAAGGGACAGGCACCTGATGTTGACAGCCTGCTGGTCACGTTTTCTTGTGGGCCGTGTGCGAGTTCTCACTGAATGGGAAGGTTCTCCTCCCAGTGGCATCCGTGCTTCGGGGGCGGGACGTGCGTGGCCTGCACCGGCGTGTCAGAGCCAGGGCTCTCTGACTGAAAGGTCTGAGTAGCTTTGAAGTGAGTTCTCTAGTCTGAGGGGGGAGGGGCAGAGGCAGCAGGAGGTCTGGAGCCTGAGGAGGGCGGGCAGGCCACTTCCTTACCGCGGACCTGCCTATAGGTCTGGTGTCCACCCCACCCCCTCATTTCTGTGGAATGTATACCCCCACCCCTCCCACCCACCAGGAGACCAGGGTCTGGTTTCCACATTCCGGCCTCGGCCTGCACTGCACAGAATAATAGAGATGCCACACCCAGCCCACTCAGAGGAAATGGCCAATTGGAAGGGTCTTCGGGAAGGGAGTGACACTGCTTCCCTCTGCCTGGAGGGGGCCTTTCCCTCTCCCTGCCCCCCCACCCCACCTCCTGCTGCCGTCACCAGAGGCTACAGGGACCTGGCAGGCAGCGGAGTGATGGGCATCCCGAGTGCAGTTGGGGTGGCTTGGGCTGCCGAGAGGAAGCCTCTAGCTGTGTCCACCAAGGCAGAGGGTGACAGCAGTGGTGCCAGGCCAGGCAGGAGAATCAGCTGTCCTTCTGCACCCAACTCCCGGGGGGCCCTAAACAGCCCCTTCCCTCCCTTTGGCCTCTGAGCATTAATTGGGCCCAAGTGTTGGCCGGCCCAGTGCTGGGTGCTGGGCGCTGGGCAGCGCTAAGGGTTTGCTCTGTGACAGAGGGTGGGTGCCAGGAAGTTCTGAGAACATGGGGGGACCCGGCTCCCAGCTGGTGAGAGGGGGTGAGAGGGAGGGCTAAGGAGGGTTTTCTGGGAGAAAAGTCCTTGCTGGCCTGCAATCTGTGAGGTTGATCAGGGTGTGTCCGGAGAGATTGGAGCGCATGACCTCCAGCTCATTGCTGGGTACAGTGGTCACTAGCCATGCTGGTCACTGAGCACTGGAACGGGCGACCCATTTAGTTCTAGTTCGTTAAAAAGCCATGTGCAGTTAGAGCTTGAAAAGCCCATTTGACCTTTCATCTCCTAAAGACCATGTGGTCGGGCTGGCTCTTGGGTCACCTTTGTTCGAGGCCTGTGGCCTGAGGCAGGGCCTCTCTGTCCCCGGCCTGGAAACCCAGGCTCCTGACTGACTCTGTTGTTCCTGCAGCCAGAGCCCAACGCTGACCCTGCAGTCCACCAACACACACACCCAGAGCAGCAGCTCCAGCTCGGACGGGGGGCTCTTCCGCTCCCGGCCCGCCCACTCGCTCCCGCCTGGCGAGGATGGCCGCGTGGAGCCCTACGTGGACTTCGCTGAGTTTTACCGCCTCTGGAGCGTGGACCATGGCGAACAGAGTGTGATGACGGCACCGTAGCCCCGGCTGCGGAGTGCAGCCGGGCAGGACCTTCGTGAGGACCAGGGGCGATCGTGGGGGCAGGATGGGCTTTTCCCCACCAGCTGCCTGTGCCGTGGGGGCCAGTGGGCGCCCAGTCCTCAGCCTGACCATCCTCCCCCAGCTGGGTGCTATGGACAATACCCTCTCAGAGCGCCGGTGCAGGCGGACCCCTTGGATACGCCATGTCACTGCAGCAGGGCTGGAGGCCACCCGCCCAGGCAGCCTCAGCCAGGACCGTCGCCATTTCTCAGAACAAGAGGTGCTAGTACGGGAGCCTGCTGGCTGTGAGCACCCCGTGGGGCAGGACGGGCAGAGGTTCTCCTGTGACCCCGCCCGTCACAGGCCCAGCAGCCACTGCTTTCTCAAGGCCACCGTTCCCGCCGCCACCTCCCCTGGAAGAGCCTGTGGCCGGTGATAGTGTCCCCTCACCAGGGGCTGGTGGTTCACCCCTCTCTTCTCCGGCCTCCAGAGTGAATCCCGGTTGACGTCTGCATCTTCAGAGCTTGCACCGTCCCTGGGCCCCTTCCCTGGGCCGGCCTGGCTGTTTTCAATGGTGAACATTTAGGAAGACCCGGGAGGTGGGGGCCGGGGATGGCTGCAGCGGGAAAGGAACCAGAGGTAACTATCCCGGAGGAGCACTGGCCCTGGAGTCCTCCAAAGGGTAGATGGGGCTGGTGGGCGTCCCCAGAGATGGGGTGCAGGGGAGCAGAAGTGCCCGGCCCGAGTGAGGACGTGGCCTCTTGTCGGGCCCCTCCAGGAGGGGAGGCCGCGGAGCAGGGTGAGCGACTCCGCTTTGCTCTTTCCTTCCTGGAGCTGGGAAGGCCCTGGCTGAGGAGCCATGAAGACCAGCGATCTTGGCCACTGACGACGGTCCCTGCTGCTCCGCAGGAATGGACAGACGCGTGTGGAAGAGGGAGCGTGGGAAGTGGCTCTGAAGGGGCAGAGGTTCTGCGAGCCCTGCTGCTCTGTGTGGAGGGTCCAGGTGTGTGCTGCTTTTTCAGGGGTGGGCGGGCTCAGGCCATCAGGCCCAAGATGGACCACCTCAGTGCTCGCTGCCTCGGGGAGGGACTGCACTCCTGTTTTCACAGGAGAAGCCAGCCCAGAGACCCACACATGCCCTCACATGGTCTGCGGTGGAACAGAAATCAGACCTGCCAGCCCCCAGGCCCTCGATTCCGCCCCTCCCCAGCTCAGCAGGGCCTGGCCTGTGTGTGGCCTCCATGTACTTGGACTCAGAGAAGCCAGAGGCCGGGTCAGGCCCTGCTCGGTCTGTGGTCCCGGGAGGGGGTTCCCGAGGGAAGCAGAGGAAGTGCCTCTCGCAGAGCGCCCACCCTCCACCACGAAGCCACCTGTTAGGTGAAGAGGTTTAAAGTTAGTCACAAAGCTGGGAACAAAGGGAATTCTCTTCCAGGAACATTCCCGTGTTGCTGCTTGGTCTCTGGAAGTAGAACCCCTTTGTGCCACGGTGAGGAAGCAATAAATGGTGGGTTGTGTGACATGGTGTTAAGGTGCTCTCACTCTTGTCTCCTGGAACTCAGGTGGCCAGGGAGGTGGGTGCCTCCTGTCCTCTGGCTCCCGGGCTGGGGTGGCAGAGCTGGGCTGTGAACCTGGCCTCTGCCTGGCCCAGGGCTGCCGCCTGCATGGCGGGGAGAGGTGGCGGCTCTCCCTCCGGCAGTGGCTGCTGTGGGGCACGGTTCCTGCCGGTGGTGGGGTGGCTGGGGTGGCCATCAGGCGTGTGAGTGGATGCTCAGGAGTTCTTTGCTTTATTTTGGTTTTGTTTGGGTGGAGGATATTCTATAAATACCAGTCCATAAAGTGCCTCTTCCTGTTTTGGGAGACTTAAGAGCTCAGCTACGCACAACAGCGTCTGCAGCTAAAACTGAAACACTGCGTGGCTGAGGGACAAAGCCAAGCTTGGCGTTTGGGTGATGGGCGCCCAGACACTTCCCCCGCCTCTGCTGGGAAGCAGTTGTAGGCGGGGGTGCTGGCAGAACTGCCTTTCAGGACCTGCCCCCTCGGCCTTAGTCGTCCCCAGTGGGTCCTGACCACCTGGAGTCACAGGTCAGCTAGCACCCTGAGAGGGAGGTGGTGGGTGGGCCGTGTCCCAGACGAGGGACTGGGGCGCAGACATATGGGCATAGTCCCAGCACAAATGGCCCTGTCTAGTCCTATGGGCCAAAGGGCCTCTCCCACCTGCTTTGCCCCAGGCATGTGGGGGTGGAGCACTGCCCTGCTGGCTCTGTGTCCCCTGTCCCCTAAGCCTGCCTCCTGAGTGAGGGCGAGAGGGGCACTGTTTCAGCCTCTGGGCTCCCTTTGGTGGAGCAAGAGAGGGAGCTTAGTCTGTTTTAAGATTTAAGCAGTGGCAAAGGTCAGGACAAGAAGAACCAAGGCAGCCAGACGAAGCGACCCTCCCGTGGGCGAGTCCCACCCCCGACACTGACACCGAGTCAGGAGCCAGCGGGGCCTCTCCAGCCTGTGACCCCGCCCACGGCCAGGTCAGGGGCACCAGGGAGGCCCCCACCACTGCTGCCTGTGCCCACTTGTCCCTTGAGGACATCTGGTTCCCTCCCAGGACAGGATTGTCACAGTCTTGATGGAGGCCCCGGCCTGGATCCGACCAGTGGGACAGGCCTTTGGAAGCCACTGCTTGTCCGGGACCCACACCCGCGCCAGGAGCTCCGCGGAAGCCGGGGGCCATCTTCAGGGTTTGTGCTGGTGTTTCAGTCCTTGTCTGGTCCTCTGATTCTCACAACCCAGCCCTGGGCTTGGTGGCGTGTCCCACCGCTGGTGCAGTGGCTGTGAGACCTGTGAGGAGCCACTTGGCTGCTGTGACAGTGACATCCAGGGAAAGGCGACTGGTCGTGCCCTTTCTGTGGCTGGTTCCTTCCTGTCACTCAGGCCTCAGCACAAAGCCACCTCCTTAGAGGGGCCTGCCCTGTCTCACACCGGCCCCATCTCCCTGTTTGATCTGTTTCACAGAAACGCAGCCTCTGACATTTCTTGCTCATTCTTTTTGTTTGCCTCTTAACTCACTAAAATGTTCGCTCGCTCATGAGAGGGGTCTTCATCTATTAATCCAGCGGTTCTCAACCTGTGGGTTGCGACCCCTTTGGGGTCGAACGACCTTTTCACAGGGGTCACCTAAGACCATCCTGCATATCAGATATTTACATTACAATTCATAACAGTAGCAACATTACAGTTATGAAGTAGCAACAAAAATAATTTTATGGTTGGGTCACAACATGAGGAACTGTATTTAAAGGGCCAGAAGGGTGAGAACCACTGACTTAATCGATTGGGTCCTGGCTCCAAGGTCCGAGTGGTGTCAACTGTGTGGCAGCCCTTTAATAGGTGCTGAATGAGTGAATGCGTGGGTAGCTGTGTGACCTTGCTGAGCTACTTGACCATGCGGAGTCTAGGTTTCCTCATCTATGAGATGAGGATCTGACTCACTTCTTCATGAGAAGGCCTGACATGCCTGAGCCGCCATGGAGGTGAGAGTGGCCCTGGCCCGCAGATGTGGAAGAGCAGGACTGGGCGCTGCAGGAGCTGAGGTTTCCGCCACCGCCACCTCCACACCTAGGTGCGCACTGAAGTCACGTGTGGTGAAGGTGCCACCTGGGCCGTGAACCTAGCAGGTGCCCTTGCAGCTTCCCGTGGAGCCCAGACGTTGAAGAGTGGTTCTGGCTCTTGCCTCTTGGAAGCCCAGAGGGAGGCTCTCCGATGGCCCCAGACATTCTCTCCAACAAGGACATCTTTCATGACTTCATTCCGGTCCTCTGTTTTGAAACCAAACAAGGACACAGATCGCAGCCATTCCAGCGGCTCAGCATGAGCCCGCGCTTTGTTCCCGCTTTGTTCCCACGCAGAGGCGGGCGGTGTCAGCCCAGAGCAGAGGCCGGCGCTTGACATTTCCCCAGCCCGGGCGGCCCCCAGGGCAGACAGTGGCCAACGCTGGCCTTAGGAAGACTGACACCAGGTCACAGACGCCATTCCTGCCTCGAGACCCCCGAGGGGTCAGAGGGCCCCGGCCGTGTGGACCAGTTGCCGGTGCAGCCCTTGCCCTTGTTCTCCCCGATTAGAGGGGGTGGGGGTGGGGGGGCAGGGCGGGTTTCTGAGCCCACCCATTGCCTCAAGGCCAGCGCCCCTTGGCTGCTTCCACGTCCTCCAGGACCAAGCTCCCACACTGGTCACGAGCAGAGCCATCCTGTGGTCCAGACAGTGCTGAGCTCAGCAGCCTTGCCCAGTGCCAGCCTCCTGCCTCCCAGAGTCATTGGTGTCCATTGCTCCGCCCCCCTCCCCCACAGGTGGGGACTTGCAAGGCATTACACTCCTCAGGGAGCCCTCCCAGTGGCCGCCAGGCAGGGCCTTTGTCTGAAGGTCCCCTGGGCGCTGTTGCTGGCCCCCGCTTGAGAGGAGGAGCTAAAGCCCAGATGGGCTAAGGAGGTGGGGCGGAGTGGTCAGGGGACAGGTTTCTGCTCAGAATCAGCCAGCGCGTCCCAGTGGCACAGGAGCTGTTGCGCCTGCGGGGGCTGCCTGTGGGAGGTGGGAGCACCAGTCATCACGGGGTGTGAGCAGAGGCCTGGCGCTTGATGGGGTGGGCGGGGACTGAGCTGCGGCCCCAGCCTAGCGTGCAAGGCCCCCCACTCTGCTGGGACGGGCTCAACCTTGTGCATCTGTGCCCTTGCTGATGCTCTCTTCCTGCTGCCTGGAGGCCTTTTGCACAGGGTGAGAACTGTCCATCCTCAGGACCCAGCTACTAGCCCCTGCAGGGACCCCTCCCCTGCTCAACCCTCTTCCAGGCTCCTTGGCTCCGGTGGGCACAGAGCACGGCTGCCGTGAACCTGGGGCTCCTGGTGAGGACCCCCAGTGCCCAGCACACAGCCGGGTCTGTGGCCGTGAACTGAGCTGGACCCAGATGTCTGAGGGAAGGAAGAGGACCCCACTCAGACCCTGGGAGGGAGCAAGGACACATAGTGACTTTCGGGGCTTCTTCCACAAAAATGTATTAAAAATGATGTTTTAGCCCAGCCGGTGTGGCTCAGTGGTTGAGCATCAGTCAACCTGTGAACCAGGAAGTGATGGTTCGATTCCCAGTCAGGGCACATGTCTGGGTTGCGGGCTCGATCCCCAGTGTGGGGCATGCAGGTGGCAGCCGATCCATGGTTCTCTCTCAACATTGATGTTTCTATCTCTCCCTTCCTCTCTGAAATCAATTTTAAAAAAACCAAACATATCTACATCAGTTTTTTAAAAAATGATAACTTACCACTGCATTGCTATAAAGAAATATATTTATCATTAAAACATTTTGAACTAAAAGTTAAAATTTTTATTTTTATTTAAAAGAAAGTACACAGTTTCTGTGGACCCATAAAAGTACGGCGGGCCCGAGGCCCCGTGTCTGCTGTGCTGCTGCTCGGGAACCAGTAGGGCCTCAGTCTGTCCCCTTCATGGGACGGCCTGCAATTGAGGTCCCAGTCCCAGCTTTCCTGCACTTCCGAGGGCCCCGGGGGCCCCCGACGCAGGAGGGAGATCGGAGAAGGGTTCAAGCGCAGGTAAAGAACCCCGGAGACATGTTCTTCGCCCAGGCTGCCCCTCCTTCCTGTGTGCCCCCCCTCCTCCACCTCGCAGCAAAACAGGCTGAGTGCCATGTGTGCAGCCCAAGCCAGGGACTGTGGTAGGAGGACAGAGAGGAGGGCGTTGAAATGAGTCACTAACACCCCTGCCCTGGAGGGGCTCCCGTCTCCCAGGAGATAAACCAGCACCTGGAATTGCAGACAGAACGGCCCTGAGAATAGGCCGAGGGAGGCTCTTCCCCAGAGTGGGGGGCTTGGCGCCCGGCCCTGGAATATTTCTGGGGGGTAGAGGCATCTGCGACTGCCAGGCTCGTCGTCACCTGAAAGCTTTGCTAAAGATGGCGGATTGGACCCGTGCACCCAATTTCCCTCCTCGAAAACCCCGTGCGGACTACAGAGGGGATTTCTTCCTTTTGTTATCTTTAAGGTAGAAGCCTACAGGGACGGGCAAGCAGGACAGGGACCAGATCTGCACCATTTCTTTTCCTTCCTTCATTTTTCTCTGTGGTGGTGGGCGTGGTGATGTGGTGCCAATCAGCACCATTTAGCAGCTGGAAAGTAGATGGAGGATGGCAACTGACTGAGGGATTCAGAAAAGCCACCTCCAAATGCGCAGGGCTCAGCGCCAGCGTGACTTACCCCACAGAGTGCCAAGGGTTCGGCCCCAGCTGGAACCTAAGGCGGGGGTAGTGGATGGAGGCAAAATAACGATCAGTCAGACCCTCGGATCCTCCCAGAACTGCCGGGCAGCCACCCTCCGTACCCACCAGAAGATTGGTTGTTCTCTGGTGATGGTGAGCCAGGGGGTCCTGGCCTAGGAAGAGGGCAGTCACACCAAAAACAGCCCAGTACTGGGGCTGTTCTCTGGTGATGCTGGGCGAGGCAGCCACCCTCCGTACCCACCAGAAGATTGGTTGTTCTCTGGTGATGGTGAGCCAGGGGGTCCTGGCCTAGGAAGAGGGCAGTCACACCAAAAACAGCCCAGTACCTGGGGCTGCTGAGTGCTGGAGTCCCTGCCTGGGCCCTGACCCTGCGCCCGGGGGCAGTGAGGCCTTTAACACACACACACACACACACACACACACACACACACACCCCGCAGGACACGGAAGCATCCTCCCTGGAGAATCTGGTCCTCCCAAGAACAAATTCCTAAAAATACTGACATGGCCCCAAACCAGCACCCCCAGACCTCCCTTCAGCGGAGTACAAGGGTCTCTCCCAACACAGCCCGAGGAATAGCTCGACTCTTTGACAGTGTATACCTTGAACTTCGATAAGGAAGTAAGGTGAACGTTAAAAAAGACGAGCACCAGCCATTACCTTATGACCCAGCAATTCTACTCCCAGGAAACAAAAAGATATGCCCACCCAGAAATTATACACACATGCTTATAGCAGCACTGCTCATAACAGCTAAAGACAGAGGCGACCCAAATGCCAGCATCGGATAGGCAGGTAAACTCCTGGCGGCAGAGCCACGCGATGGAATATTACTCGGCACAAAAAGGGATGGGTTCTGACACTTGCTACACAGCGGTTCTCAACCTGTGGGTCGCGACCCCTTTGGCGGTCAAACGACCTTTTCACAGGGGTCGCCTAGATACATCCTGCCTATCAGATATTTACATGACGATTCATAACAGTAGCAACATTACAGTTATGAAGTAGCAACGAAAATAATTTTGTGGTTGGGGGTCACCACATGAGGAACGGTGTTAAAGGGCCGCGGTGTTAGGGAGGTTGAGAACTGCTGCGCTACAAGGAGGATGAGCCTTGAGGACCTTCTCAGTGAAAGATGCCAGACACAAAAGGTCATGTATTGTACTATTCCTTTAAAGTGAAATGTCTGGAATATGCAAATCCATCGAGACAAAAAGCAGATTAGGGGTTGTCAGGGGCCAGAGGAAGGGGGAGGATGGGGAGTGATGACTTAATGGATACCAGCTGTTTTTCTGGGGTGATGA